TCCCAAAGTGCTGGGATTACAGGCATGAGCCACCGTGCCCGGCCAAAAATAGTTTAAACAATACAGTGTTCATTTATGCTTGAAATTCCAGTCCTCAACCAAGCTTGTGACCACCAGCATTGACATTTTTGCCATCCAGGAGAGCTGACAGTGTCAGTTTGATACCTGGCTTTAGGGTCTGAGTGTATCCTAAACCTCTCAGGCTGGAGTTGTTCACTTTAGCTGAGAAGCAGGCATCGGGGTCGATCTGATACTTGGCTGCTATTCCGAAGCTAGTGTTACTGTTTCCTGCTGTCCAGGTGAGATTGATAGTAGTCTCCAACTTGTTCACCTTCTGGTAAATGGAGCTGCCAAACTGTCCTATCATTCACTTTAGTGTGAAGCTGGAATTCATCAGTCTTGTAGCCAACTGCACTGTTGCTCTGGGTCACTCGGGACTTTGCATTCTCAAAATTCATCTGGTAGCTGGCCAGCCAGCTCTCGTAACCCAGCACCAGAGCACCCTGGATTGAGGGCCCAGCAATGTCAAAATCCATGTCTCAGCCCAGGTTAATGTGCTCCTGCTCGTACCCTGTCTTGATTTTAGCATTTTTTCCCCAGTGTTAGGTGAGAAGGATGAATTGAAAGTCACCTTCAGTTCATGTGAAAGCTGATCTTCCACAGTAACCTCAGTGCCTGGTGTGTTGTCAGTGTTCTATTTCTCTGTAAATGTCAGGCCATATTCAGTCCATCTGTACTTGGTTTCCAGACGGCCTGTCACTTTGGTGGTCTCACTGTTGGCTGAGCCTGAGCTTGTAAATTCCAATCCATTCTTCTCTTTTGTTTTCAAATCAAGTTCTATTAAGCCAAATCCATAGCCCTTGGTGAAGACATCCCTGGCAGATTTTCCAAGATCTCTTACATGGGTGGCCCAGCCATCTTTTCAGAGGTGGCGGCAGCAGGCTCAGAGGCAGCTATGGCAGGGGCTGTGGTGCGGAGGCAGATTTCCCTCATGCTCTTTTTGTGATCATGAGTTCTCACGAGATCTGATAGTTTAAAAGTGTGTAGCACTTCCCTCTCTTGCTTGCTCTTTCTCCTGCCACAATGTGAAGATTTACTTGCTTCTCCTTCATCCTTCCACCATGATTGTAAGTTTCCTGAGGCCTCCCTTCCATGCTTCATGTACAGCCTGTGGAACTGTGAGTCAATTAAACCTCTTTTTTTCATGAATTACCCAGTATCAGGTAGTTCTTTGTAGCAGGGTCCCCTGAAACAATCAGGAAGAAAAGAACATGGTAAGGAAGATGTATAGGGTAAATGTAGTAGGCATCGCTATTCTACATGAATTTTCTAAACTTGTTGATGGCGGAAGCAAAGATTATCGTATGATCTGATGTGGATTTGAATGTATATAGAGGAAATACTTAGGAAAATTATGTTTTTAAACAGAAAGAGTAAGGGGATGTAATGGGAGGTAAATTCTGTACAATTATTCAAACTGGTAAAATGGGCCAGGTGTGGTGGCTTATCCTCTAATGCCAGCACTTTGTGAGGCTGAGGCAGGAGGATTGCTCAAGCTCAGGAGTTTGAAACCAGCCTGGGCAACATAGTAACACCCCATCTCTTAAAAAAAAAAAAAAAAAAAAATTAGCCAGGTGTGGTGATGCACACCTGGTCCCAGCAACTTGGGAGGCTGAGGTGGGAGGATTGCTGTAGACTGGGAGATTGAGGCTATAGTGAGCCATGATCATGCTGCTGCTCTCCAGCCTAGGTGTCAGAGTGAGACCCTGCCTCAAAAAAACAACAAAATAGCAAACTGGTAAAATGATGACACCAGTAAATTATGATAAGCTATATGTATGTAATGTAGCACCTAGAGCAACCACTTAAAAAGCTATACAATGGCTGGGCATGGTGGCTCACACCTGTAATCCCAGCACTTTGGGAGGCCAAGGCAGGGGGATCACCTGAGGTCAGGAGTTCAAGACCAGCCTGGCCAATATGACGAAACCCCATCTCTACTAAAAATACAAAAATTAGCCGGGTGTGGTGGCGGGGGCCTGTAATCCCGGCTACTCAGGATGCTGAGGCATAAGAATTGCGTGAACTCGGGAGGAGGAGGATGTAGTGAGCCGAGATCGTGCCATTGCACTCCAGCCTGAGCAACAGAATGATACTGTCTCCAAAAAAAAAAAAAAAGCAAAAAGCTATACAATGAAATACACTAAGAAACACTGTAGGCAAATCAAGACAGAACTATAAAAAAGTTTGAGTAACCCATGAGAAAGTTGTAAAGAAAACAAAGAGGCAAAAAGCCCAGAGAACAAACAGAAATAAAACTTAAATGGCAGACATTCCAACCAATAAGAACAGAATACGTATTCTTTTCATGTGCCTTTGGAAACATAGACGAAGATAGACATATCCTGAGCCGTAAACCAACATAAAGCAAAAATTTCTTTTGTTAAAACATTTTTTTCTAATTTAAATCATGTAATGTCGGTCATATCAATAGGCTAAAGAAGAAAATTAATTATTTTATCAGTTAATGCAATAGGAGTTTGGCAGAATTCAACAACCATTTGTAAACAAAACTGTCAATACAATAGGAACAGAGGAGAATCTTCTAAAAATCTACAGCTAACATTCTTTTTTGAATTTTGGTAATACGTAACACAAAATTGACTGTTTTATAACCTTTTACAATTCAGTGGCATTAAGTACATTCACATTGTTGTGCAACCATCACCACTTTCCAGAATTTTTTCATTATCCCACATAGAAATTGTATATCCATTAAACAATAACTCCTCATTCCCACTCCCCCCAGTCCCTGGTAACCTCTGTTTTACTTTGTCTGTATGAATTTGCCTATTTTAGGTACCTCACATAAGTGGAATCATACAATATTTGTCCTTTTGTGACTGGCTTATGTCACTTGGCATATTTTCAAGGCTTATCTCTTAAAAGCATCCATCAGAATGTCCCTCCTTTTTAAGGCTGAAAAATGCTCCATTGTATGTATATACCACATTTTCTTTATTCATTCATTTTCATTCATTCACATTTTCTTTATTCATTCAGTTGATAAACATTCAGGTTGTTTCCAGCTGTTGTGAACAGTATTGCTATGAACATCGGTGTACAAGTGTCTGTCTGAGTCCCTGCTTTCAGTTTTTGGGGGTATATTCCTAGGAATGGAATTGTTGGATCAGATGGTAATTACATGTTTAATTTTTTGAGGAACTGCCAAACCGTTTTTCATAGAAACTGTATCGTTTTACATTCCCAATGGCAATGTGCAAGTTTCCAATTTCTCCACACCCCACAAAAATATGTTTTTCTTTTTTCTGGTAGTGGTTATCCTGTTTGTGGAACAGTATTTATTTTTTATTTAATTTATTTTTAATTAAAACTTTTGTTAAACATCTACTCTTGATTCTGGTCTATGGAACGGTATTCTTTTTTTTTTTTTTTTTTGAGATGGAGTTTTGCTCTGTTGCCCAGGCTGCAGTGTAGTGGCGCAATCTTGGCTCACTGCAACCTCTGCCTCCCAGGTTCAAGCAATTCTCTGCTTCAGCCTCCCAAGTAGCTGGGACTACAGGAGCGCACCACCACACCCAGCTAAGTTTTGTATTTTTAATAGAGATGGTGTTTCACCATCTTGGCCAGGCCGGTCTTGAACTCCTGACCTCGCGATCCACCCGCCTTGGCCTCTCAAAGTGCTGGGATTACAGATGTGAGCCACTGCATCTGGCCAGGACAGTATTCTTAATGGTGAAAGATTAAATGCTTTCCTTCCACAATTGGGAACAAACCAAGGTTATATCTGTTCTTACCACTCTCATTCAGCATAGCACTGGAAGTTCTAACCACATTAGCAAAGAAATGAAACTGTTCCTATTTGCAGAGGACATGATTGTCTATGTAGAAAATCTCAAGGAATGAAGGGAAAAAAAACTTTTAAAGCTAAGTAAGTTTAGTCCAGTTGCCATGTAGAAGATAAAACAGACAGGCCGGGCGCGGTGGCTCAAGCCTGTAATCCCAGCACTTTGGGAGGCCGAGACGGGCGGATCACGAGGTCGGGAGATTGAGACCATCCTGGTTAACACGGTGAAACCCCGTCTCTACTAAAAAATACAAAAAACTAGCCGGGCGAGGTGGCGGGCACCTGTAGTCCCAGCTACTGGGGAGGCTGAGGCAGGAGAATGGCGTGAACCCGGGAGGCGGAGCTTGCAGTGAGCTGAGATCCGGCCACTGCACTCCAGCCTGGGTGACAGAGCGAGACTCCGTCTCAAAAAAAAAAAAAAAAAAAAAAAAAAAGAAGATAAAACAGACAAACAGTTGTATCATATGTCATAGCATGAACATACGGTCACTGAAGTTAAAATACAATACCATTAAAATTACTAAAAAAAGAAGAAAGCTGAAGAAATTCTTAGGTGTAAATCTAACAAAACGTGTAGGGTCTGTTTGCAGAAAATCACAAAATGTTGATGAAATAAATCATAGACTGTCTAAACAAATGGAGAGACATACCGTGTTTATGAATTTGAAGATCCAACATAGTAGAGATGTAAGTTCTCACCAAATTGATATACAGGTTTAATGGGAATCCTATCAAAATTTCAGCAAGGGCTTTTACAAGATTATTGTAAAATTTGCATAGAAAGGCACAGGCACAGGCTGTTTTAAAATAGCTAAATCAACTTCTAACATGAAGAATAAAGTGAGAGGAATTGGTTTACCCGATTTCAAGTCCTGCTGTGTAGCCGCGATAATCAAACTTGTGCGTTCGATCAGTACAACAGAGAGCCCAGAAAGAGAACCAGCATCAGTGTATGGAGGGGATTAATAGTCTTGAACATATGGAACCAGGTTTCAGGTTAAAAGCAGGATCTATAAATCTCACTTGGGTGCTCTAGGACTGCTTTCTTTTTGCCTTGACTATGGTTAGTGGCTTAAGTTGGTTAGTGGGCGTGGCTGGCTGTTGAGTGAGCAGGGATGTGTTTGTGTTACAGGCATTGATGGCCTTCCGGGATGTGGCTGTGGCCTTCACCCAGAAGGAGTGGAAGCTATTGAGTTCTGCTCAGAGGACCCTGTACAGGGAGGTGATGCTGGAGAACTACAGCCATCTGGTCTCCCTGGGTAAGACTGGCCTGTTTAAGGTTTCAGATTCTGCTTATGGGCATTTTAATCTCTTACGTAGCAGCTGCCATGCCTCTGACTCAGAAAGAAAAACAGTTTTTTCCCCTATTCCCCCAGAGAATGCCTGACTTTAGTAGAGCAGTTTTATGTGTGCGTGTGTGTGTGTGCGTGCTGTGAGCATGTGTCTGACACTGCATTTCAGGCCTGTTTACCTTGGCTGGGCTCCTCCTCTAAGATTATCTTCCTTCAAAAGGAGGAATATTTTTATTGACTCAAGCACAGGGTAGAATGAACATATTGCTTTTAGGTCTAGGATCCCCTCCCTGTATTCATCCTGTCTCAGCATTCATTGTTTTACTCCACCCCCGCACCTCCCTATCACCTTCTGGGTTTACTGCATTCCTGGGTTGGCTCTGAGTTCTGAGATAGCCTCTTAAACCACTAACTCAAGATCACCTTGTGGTTTTTTTTTTTTTTTTTTTTTTCTGTGAGTAGGAATTGCATTTTCCAAACCAAAACTCATCGAACAGCTGGAGCAAGGGAACGAACCTTGGAGAGAGGAGAACGAACATCTTCTGGACCTTTGTCCAGGTGAGTGGGGAACCCTGGGCAGGCGAGGGTGCAGGGCAGTGAGGAGCACAGCAGGTAAGGAAGGAGGGGCTGTTTTTGGAGTGCTAGGAGGAAGTTCTTCTTCTTCAGGCCTCCTAGGCCGCTGGTAAAGGCTGCATGGCACTGCCTGCCTTCCACACTGTGTGCCTCCCCCCAGGAGAGGGCACCCCTGGCATTCCATCTCCTTCCTCCATCAGGGAGCCTCACTCTTCACTTGGCTTCCTGTCTCGAGCACATTCAGGATTTCTCCATTCTTGGGCTCATGTGGTTGGCGTGATCTTCAAAACAGTACCTGTCCTTTGAGACTAAGTCCTCTGCCCCTGTTTTTTTTTTTTTTTTGAGACAGAGTCTTGCTCTGTCACCCAGGCTGGAGTGCAATGGCAGGATCTCAGCTCACTGCAACCTCCACCTCCTGGGTTCAAGCAATTCTTCTGCCCCAGCTTCCTGAGTAGCTGGGACTACAGGTGCCCACCATCATGCCCAGCTAAATTTTTTTGTATTTTTAGTAGAGATGGGGTTTTACCATATTGGTCAGTCTGGTCTCGAACTCCTGAGCTCAGGCAATCCATCTGCTTTGGCCTCCCAAAGTGTTGGGATTACAGGCGTGAGCCACCGCGCCCAGCCAGTTTCTATTCTTAACCTGGTAAGTTTTTTGTGCATCATTTCTATCCTGTAAATTCTCATAACTCTGTTTCTTTTATCATAGATTATTTAACATCACAGCAAGGTGTAAAAAACTGTACAATGAGTAGGGTTGGGGCAGCCGTATAGCCTAAGAGATAGCATGTTATAAAGCCAGGTAATAGCCCCATACTTTTCCTGATTGTGTCCTGTTCCTCCGCCTCCGTTTTCTGAGTTAGCATTCCATGATTGCCTTTATCCTTTTATTCCATCCGATGGGTTCTTCATTCATATAGGGTGTTGTTTTGCATGTCTGTAAACTTCTCTGCACATAATATTATTAAGTTGTTTCCAACCTTTTGACTATGAAATAATCTTGCTCTGTATTCATGTATGCCTCCTTGGGAACACGTGCAAGAGTTTCTCTTAAGATATATACCAGCTGGGTTCGGTGGCTCACGCCTGTAATCCCAGCACTTTGGGAGGCTGAGGCAGGTGGATCACAAGGTCAGGAGTTCAAGACCAGCCTGGCCAACATGGTGAAACCCCATCTCTACTAAAAATAGAAAAGTTAGCCGGGCATGGTGGTGCATGCCTGTAATCCCAGCTACTCAGGAGGCTGAGGCAGGAGAATTTCTTGAATCTGGGAGGCGGACGTTGCAGTGAGCTGAGATTGCGCCATTGCCCTCCAGCCTGGTTGACAGAGCGAGACTCCATCTCACAAAGAAAGAAAGAAAAAAAAAAGATATATACCTAGGTGTGTAGTAGCTAGTTCATAGACATGCATAGCCTCAACTTACATAAGTTATGCCAACTTGTGTTCTCAAGTAGGCATGGCAGCTTATGCTCCCAGCAGGAGTCTATGAGAATTCTTGTTGCACATCCTCACCAATATTTGGGAGTGTCAGACCTCATGTTTTATCCATCTATTCAGCTGGAAGTGAAATCTCAGACGGGTTTTTAAGTTGCTTACTAGTGAGCATGAGCATCTTTTCGTATGTTGCTTGGCCCTTCCTGGTTCCCCATCTGTGATTTGACCATTCAAGGTATTTGCCTACTTTTCAGTGGGTTTATTCTTTTTGTTATTGATTTGTAGAAATCCCAAATTATAGAAACATTTAGGTCTTTAATCTAACTAGAATTAATTTTATATGAATGCTGGGAGATAGAAATTAATTTTTGCCTGCTTTATCTTCTTGTTTATTTTCATGGTTTCCTGGCATTTTATTTTTGTTTTGTTTTTTGCTTTTAAATATAATAACTATATAGCTGGTGTTACAGTATGTAGCAACTGAGTGCTTTTGTCTTTCTAAAAAAATTTCATTATATGAAAATGGGCTGGGCACAGTGGCTCACGCCTGTAATCCCAGACTTTGGGAAGCTGAGGTGGGTTGAGGTGGCCTCACCTGAAGCCAGGAGTTTGAGACTAGCCTGGCCAACATGGCAAAATCCTGTCTCTACTAAAAACACGAAAATTAGCCGAGCCTGGTGGCGCATGCCTGTAATACCAGCTACTCAGATGGCTGAGGAGTGAGAATCGCTTGAACCTGGGAGGCGAAGGTTGCAGTGAACTGAGATCACACCACTGTACTCCAGCCTAAGCTACAGAGTGAGACTCTGTCTCAAAAAAAAAAGTAAAATAATGATAAAAATGTTATTAAGATACAGTAACTAAGGTATAAGATGTGTTTTTAAGGTATAATAAACTACACTTATTTAGGTGTAAAATTTGGTTAGTTTTGGTATATGTATACATGCATGAAACCACTGCGACAACTAAAGTAACAAGCATGTCTGTCATCCTTGAAAGTTTTCTTTTGCCTCACTGTAATCCTACCTCCCACTCCTTCCTGTCCTCCCCTGTACCTGGGCAACCACTGATCAGCTTTCTATAATTATAGATTTGTCTGCATTTTCTAGAATTTGTATAACTGGATTATACAACTGGTTTCTTCACTCAGCATAATTATTTTGAATTTTATCTATGATGTGTGTATCAATAGTTTATTAATTTTTATTGCTGAGTATTCCTTTATATGGCTAGGTCACATTTTAATACTGACCTATGGAAAGATATTTGGGTTTTCATTTTTGACAAATATAAATAAAGCTGTTTTAAGCATACAAGTTTTCGTGTGAATATAATGCTTTCATTTCTGTTGAATAAATACCTGGGACTGGAATGGCTGGGTTGTATGATGATGGATACAATCTATATTTAACTTTTTAAGAAACTCACAAACTGCTTTCGAAAGTGGCTGCACCTTTTCGCATTCCCATGGCAGCGCAGTGTATGAGAGCTCCGGGTGTTCCGCATCTGTCGAAACTTGGCTTGGTTATTGTATTAATTTCAGACGTTCTTATAGCTGTGTAGTGAGTGGCATCCTACTGTGGTTTTGACATTTTCTTAATGACCGATGACGTTGAGTATCTTCATGTACTTATTTGCCATCTTATTATCTTCTTTAGAGAAGTGTGTTTTCACATCTTTTGCCCATTTAAAAATGTGGTTTCTTATTTTTGTATTATTGAGTTTGAGAGTTCTTCAGATATTCTATATAGAAGTCCATTATCAGATACATGATTTACAAACATTTTTTCTGTGGTTTACTTTTTATAATCTTACTAGTGCCTTTCAAAGAGAAATTTTTAACTGGGATGAAATCCAGTTTTCAATTTTTTCTCTTATGAATTACAGTTTTGGTAGTATATTTAAGAAATTTTTGGCCGGGCGCGGTGGCTCACGCCTGTAATCCCAGCACTTTGGGAGGCCGAGGCGGGCGGATCACAAGGTCAGGAGATCGAGACCACGGTGAAACCCCGTCTCTACTAAAAATACAAAAAATTAGCTGGGCGCGGTTGTGGGCACCTGTAGTCCCAGCTACTCGGGAGGCTGAGGCAGGAGAATGGCGTGAACCCGGGAGGCGGAGCTTGCAGTGAGCCGAGATCGCGCCACTGCACTCCAGCCTGGGCGACAGAGCGAGACTCCGTCTCAAAAAAAAAAAAAAAAAAGAAATTTTAGTCTAAACTAAGGTCAAAAAGGTTCTCATTTTTTTCTTTTAGTAATTTTATAATTTTTAATTACATTTAGGTCTATACGCCTATTTTGAGTAAATATAAAAATGTACATAAATTCAGGCCTCCCCTTTTTTAGGGGAGGAAGGGCATACAAATATCCAATTTTTCCAGCACCATTTATTGAAAAGACTGCCCTTTCTTTACTGAATTTCCTATGTACTTTTGTGGAAAATCAGTTGACCATATATGATAGGTCTATACCTGGACTTTATATTTTTTTCTACTGCTCTGTTAGTGTCTCTATGCCAATACCGCAGTTTTGATTACTGTAGGTTTATTAGGTCTTGAACTCACTGTAAATCCTCCATCTTCTTTGGGAAGCTGAGGCAGGCGGATCACAAGCTCAGGAGTTCAAGACTAGTCTGGCCAGCATAGTGAAACCCCATCTCTACTAAAAATACAAAAAAAATTAGTTGAGTGTGGTGGTGTGCACCTGTAATCGCAGCTACTCGGGAGGCTGAGGCAGGAGAATCGTGTGAACTCGGGTGGCAGAGGTTGCAGTGAGCCGAGATCGCACTGTTGCACTCCAACTCAGGCAAAGTGCGACGAGACTCCATCTCAAAATAAAATAAAATATCCTCCATCTTTGCTTTTTTTTTTGCAAGTTCTTTTCGTTATTCTTTTTTTTTCATATGAATTTTAGAATCAGCTTGTCAGTTTTTATCAAAAATGCCTGCTGAGATTTGGATTGGGATCGAGTTGAATCTGTATCAATTTGTGGAGAACTTACATGTAAATAATACTGTGTCTTACCGTACGTGAACACAGTGTGGCTCTCCATTTACATAAGACTTCTTTCATTTTTGTCGGCATTGTTTTGTCATTTCTAGTATACAGGCCTTACATATCTCTTGTCAGATTTGCCCCTAAGTGTTGTATTTTTTATGCTATTTTTAAGTGTCAATTTTCAGTTGTTTATTGATGGTACATAGAAATAAAATGGATTTATGTGTAGTGATTTTTGCATGCTGTAATCTTGCAAAACTCACATCTTTTTCCACTGGAATATTTTAATACGAAGGACCTTCTCTGTATTCCAGATGGACTGTGAATGGCAATCCCTAAAGCTGCTTAAGTTCGCTCTTGCAGATATGATCTTACTGACTCTAATCAACGATACAAGGAGTTTTTCTTAGGAATAGTATGGTCAAAAATAAGAAATACATATTTTGTGATTAAAAATAGTTAACAAATGGAATAACATATAAATCAGTATTCTATTTATAATCGTCTGCCTTGAACCAAGGGTCTTCTGTTAAATAGTTTAATTCCATTAAATTCTTCACTTCTGTTCTGATAGGGCACTCAAAACCCTGATTCAGTTTCTTGCTATGGGTTGCTACTTGCGGGGCACATTTCTGATCAATGCTCTTAAAAATTTGTTCCAGGGGCTGGGTGCGGTGGCTCACGCCTGTAATCCCAGCACTTTGGGAGGCCAAGGTGGGCGGATCACTTGAGGTCAGGAGTTTGAGACCAGCCTGGCCAACATCGTGAGACCCTATTACGACTAAAAATACAAAAAATTAGCCAGGCGTGGTGGGTGCGCCTGTAATCCCAGCTTCTCGGGAGACTGTGGTGGGAGAATTGCTTAAACCCAGGAGGTGGAGGTTGCAGTGAGCTGAGATAGCGCCACTACACTCCAGCCTGGGTGACAGAGTGAAACTCTGTCTCAAAAAAAAAAAAAAAAAAAAAAAAGAACTTAGTCCATAATTACCTAGGAGTTATGGTATCAACTTATGGAAGCTGAAAGCACTGCTACTTTCCAGAGCGTTTAATTTATACCATCATGGGAATTAGTATTATCTCCAATTGGCAGCCTATTTAAACCTAGAAACAAAATTTTTTGAAAAAGTAAATTTGTATAGTTTTAACAGTTTTGGATAAGAATATGCTTAAGCCAAAATATGTATAATCCCTGAAACATCTTTATGCTAATAAGTCATCTATTACTAACCTTCAAACGCTGAACTTCTCCTTCATTCGCCAGATTTTTAAAAAATCCTGGATTGTTGAGCAAAACAGTGGACGCAGTGTTGTGCAGTGCTATTCGGGGAATATACTTGGCCACAGTCTGCCCAGAGGCTAGAGGATAGCACCCTCGTTTGCCAGGAGGGCAGCATCAGGGAGTCCTCTTCTTCAAGAGGACTTAAGAGTGTCCATGCAGCAGTTCAGGAGACAACTCACATCAGGCTGCTATGGAAGCTCCCTGGCCTAAAGCCTGTTCCACACAGGAACCCGTATCTCTTGCTGCAGCCTATCTGATTCGTGGGTGCCCCTTACTTGGGTCGCCACAGTCAAGGAAGCCCAAAATATGGCTCCCGTTCAGTTGTTTAGATCTTATTTATAGCATCTTCAGGATCGTAATCAGTCTGTTACTTACCGCAGCTCAGACACCAAGTTCTTGGCTCTTGCATAAACAGCAGGCCAAACAAATGTTTCTCAGGCAAGGTTTCATAGGCGTGAGCTGGAGCAAAAGCAAGAGAGCAGCGCCCAAGAAAGGAAAATCAATGTGTAACTCTACTTGCAGCAGTTTATAGAGCTGAAGCTGCCTATGATGCTTTTTTGAACTTTCTGGTTTGGCTGATAGGACTAATTTGTAGTGTGGGTTTTCTGTGCTGCAATAGAGCATGTAATGTGCCCTTGTGGGTTGGAAGATAGGTCTTTGTTGTGAACATCTGAAGAAAACTGCTGGGCAGGTATTGCAATCCACAGGCACCTGTGGTGATTCTGACCGAGACTTTCTCTCTAGCAGAGCCTAGGACAGAATTCCAGCCCAGTCTTCCCCACCTGGTGGCCTTTTCTAGCTCACAGCTCCTCAGACCATATGCACTAAGTGGTCATCCCACACAGATCTTCCCAAGCTCATCTGCAGGAAGTGACTTCCAACTAGAAGCTCCAAGATGCTCTAGTGAAAAAGGAGAAAGTGGAGAGACAGAAGGCCCCGACACCTCATTAAGAAAGAGGCCAAGCAGAATTTCTAGGACATTCTTCAGCCCACATCAAGGTGACCCAGTAGAATGGTTGGAAGGGAACACACAAGGAGGAATAGACCTTCGCCTGGCCCAGAGGATGAGTCCTGGGGGGTCAGACACAATGTTGAAGGGAGTAGACACCTCAGAATCTGGAGCAGTCATACGTGGAAACTATAGACTGGGACTTAGCAAAAAGTCAAGCCTGTTCAGCCACCAGAAGCATCATGTGTGCCCTGAATGTGGGAGAGGCTTTTGCCAGAGATCAGACCTTATCAAGCACCAGAGGACACACACCGGGGAGAAGCCATACCTGTGTCCAGAGTGTGGGCGTCAGTTTAGCCAGAAGGCCTCCCTCTCCATACACCAGAGGAAGCACTCGGGGGAGAAGCCGTATGTGTGCAGGGAATGTGGGCGACACTTCAGGTATACATCCTCCCTCACTAATCACAAGAGGATTCACTCCGGGGAGAGGCCCTTTGTATGTCAGGAGTGTGGGCGAGGCTTTCGCCAGAAGATAGCCCTCATCCTACACCAGAGGACACACTTGGAGGAGAAGCCCTTTGTGTGTCCCGAGTGTGGGAGAGGCTTTTGCCAGAAGGCATCCCTCCTCCAGCACCAGAGCTCACACACAGGCGAGAGGCCCTTCCTGTGCCTCGAGTGTGGGCGTGGCTTCAGGCAGCAGTCACTCCTCCTTAGTCACCAGGTCACACACTCAGGGGAGAAGCCTTATGTCTGTGCCCAGTGTGGGCACAGCTTTCGCCAGAAGGTCACTCTCATCAGGCACCAGAGGACACACACAGGGGAGAAGCCTTACCTGTGCCCCCAGTGTGGGCGGGGTTTCAGCCAGAAGGTCACCCTCATTGGACACCAGAGGACACACACAGGGGAGAAGCCCTACCTGTGCCCTGATTGTGGGCGTGGCTTTGGTCAGAAGGTCACCCTCATCAGACACCAGAGGACACACACCGGGGAGAAGCCTTATCTGTGCCCCGAGTGTGGGCGCGCCTTTGGCTTTAAGTCGCTCCTCACCCGACACCAGAGGACACACTCAGAGGAGGAGCTTTATGTTGACAGGGTGTGTGGGCAAGGACTTGGCCAGAAGTCACACCTTATCTCTGACCGAAGGACACACTCGGGAGAAAAGCCCTGCGTCTGCGATGAATGTGGGCGCGGCTTCGGCTTTAAGTCTGCCCTCATCCGGCATCAGCGGACCCATTCTGGGGAGAAGCCGTATGTCTGCAGGGAGTGTGGACGTGGCTTTAGCCAGAAGTCTCACTTACATAGACATAGGAGGACCAAGTCTGGTCATCAGCTCCTACCCCAAGAGATCTTTTGACCTTTCCTTTCCTCGTGCGTGTGAAGCTGGCAGAAATCACTAGTAAATGCTTCAGTTTCCTGAAATGGGATGGAAAAAGAAAATGTTGCTTTCTTTCATTGATCATGAGATAGTTGAATTTTGGTTTACCTTCTATATTCACAGTTTGTCTTGGCTTGCTAGGGATTCCACAACAAAGTACCCCAGGCTGGGTGACTTTAACAACAGAACTCTATTTTCATATTTATGGAGGCAGGAAGTCCCAGATGAAGGTATTGGTAGGTTTGGCTGCTGCTAAAGCCTCTCTGCTTGGCTTGCAGATGGCTGCTTTCTGGCCACATCCTCACGTGGCCTTTTTTCTGTGTGTATACTTTCCTGGTGTGGCTTCCTCCTCTTGTAGGGATACCAGTCATTCTGGATAAAGCCACAGCCATATGGCCTCATTTAACCTTCATAACCTTCTTAAAGGCCCTATCTCCAGACACAGTCACACTACAGGGTTGGGACTTCAACATGAATTCTTGGGAAACCCAATTTAGTCTATAACACTCCACTACCAAAGTTCAGGTCCTTCAAACATACAAAATACATTCACAGGATCCCAACAGTCCCAAAATTCTTTACCCATTTCAACTTCAACTCTAGATCCAAAATCTCATTTAAATATCATCTAAACCAAGCGTGAATGAGACTTTAGGTACAATTCATCCTTAGGCAAAATTCTCCAGCTGTGATCCTGTGAAACCAGACAGATTATCTGCTTCCAAAATATTATACAATGGTGGGACAAGCAGAGGCTGAACTCCCCATTCCAAAGGAGAGACATGAGAAAGAAATGAAGAATGATGGATCCTCAGCAAGTCTCAAACCTGGCAAGGCAACTTCCATTAGATTTTAAGTTTCGAGAATAATCCCCTTTGGCTCAGTGCTCTGCCCTGTGGGCCAGCTGGATTTTGGTACTGTGTAGGGATGCTTTGTAACCTAAAATGTGGAAGTGGCTTGGAACTGGGTTCTTGGTAGAAAGAAGCTACAAGAGTTTTGAGGCACATGTTAGGAAAAGCCTGGATGACCTTTAAAACACTGCAGCCCTACTTTTTGGGCTCACGGGAGCTGCAGTGTCGCTTCTTGGCCTGGGCAGTGGCTCCTGGCCCACTGAAATTGAGAAGGAGACCACACTTGCCCTCTAGCCCTGTACTCTCTGGACCATTAGAACCTTTGAGAATCACATTCTTCCCTTTTCTTGTACCTTCCTGTAGAATCCCAGAAGTCCAACAGCCTGCCTTCATTTGTCCTGTGTCTTTCTCTATTCAGTTCAAGCTGGCAGCATTTCTGGTGAGATGGTTAACTGGTTCCATTCAGATCTATACAATCTCTTTATCACATGGTTGTCCAGCCACACCCTAGTGTTCTTTCGAGAACATACTTTCTCATTTTTTGTAATGCGGACAGGCGGAGAATTTTCCAAATCTTTAAGTACTGGTTCTTTTTTGCTTAACAGTTCCTTCAATTTATCTTTCACCTTTCACATTTTACTATAAGCCAGCAAGGAGAAGACAGGCTCCACTTGCATCACTTTGTGTAGAAATATCACCTGAATATTCTGCACTGCCTCACTCACAACTTCTATACTCCACAAAACACTAGAATGCAATTTGGGCAAGTCCTTTGCAAGGATTCCAGTTTCCCATTACCCATTCCTCATTTCTGTCTGAGACCTCACCACAATCACCTTAAAGAAAAAAAAAAGAACAAATTTTGTAGATACGGGTTTTTTGCTGTGTTGCTTAGGCTGGTCTCATACACCTGGCCTCAAATGATCCTCCTGCTTTGCCCTCTCAAAGTGTGAGCCACCACACCCAGCCCAGAACCTTTAACATCTACATTCCTACCAACAGTGTTTTAAAGGTTATCCAGGCTTTTCCTAACATGTGCCTCAAAACTCTTGTAGCTTCTTTCTACCAAGAACCCAGTTCCAAGCCACTTCCACATTTTAGGTTACAAAGCATCCCTATCACAGTACCAAAATCTGTATTAATTTGCTAGGGCTAACTTAAGAAAACAACAGACTGGGTGCCTTAAACAATAGAACATTTAGCTTCTCACAGGTCAGGAAACTGGAAGTCCTAGAATGGGGTGTTGACAGGTTTGGTTTCTACTAAGGCCTCTCTCCTTGGCCTGCAGATGGCTGCCTTCCCTCTGTGGTGTCACATAGCTTATTCTTTGTACACACACTTTCCTGATGTCTCTCGTTAAAAGGACACCAGTGATAGTGGATTAGGGCAACACCCTAAAGACTTCATTTTAACCTTAATTACAACTTTAAATGTCCTGTATGCAAAAACAGTTATATTGGGGATTAGGGCTTCAACATATGAATTGCGGTGGGGAGGGACACAATTTAGTCCATAACACTCTGACTTCTGGACTTCCAAAATTTGTGTCTAGCCATGAGCACCTGCCACAGAGTGCTCTCCTGACCATTCCTTTCCTTTCTCCATAAGTGTGAAGATGGCAGAAACCAATAATAGATGTTCCACTTTCCTGATATGGAATGGAGAAAAAAGAGTTGCTTTCCTTCATTGATCATGAGATAGTTGGTTTATGCTTTACTTTCTGCACAGCAGTCGTTTGTATTTTATGGTCTTTTGTTTTAATAAACTGCTTCTCTACAAAGCTGCATACCTGGCTATGTACCTCATTCACTGATACTTTTAGGAGAGCCCCAAGGCATTCAACCTCTTCGGAGACATGGAGGAATTACTCTGCATATTTATTCTAGACTACTGTCCTATGGGACGGGGATATTACGGTATTCAACCTCACCTCTTCCTAAGTCTTCCAGTGTCTGTGATAAGAGATGCTGGCCACAAGCTCAACTTCCCTGACTCCAGATTGAAGGGCATTTATCACATCCCTGTCATGTTAGCTATGCCTGCGTGCCAGTGATCCAGCCCGTCAGCCACAACTTTCCTTAAAACTCCAGTCAGGAGCTAAGACTCTGAAGCCACCCACCCTTCTATCCAGCCCAAGACACTGCCCCTTTAGCTGTAGTCCCTCCTGTTCCTTGATCCCCAGAGCCCAAATGCCCTAGATCCTGACAAATGCCTACATCAAGACTGGCCCTGGCCCTGTTCCTTCAGCACCAAGTGTTTACTGCATGGTCAGTCTCCCCAGTGCTTGGAGCCACTGCTGGCTCAGAGGGGTTTTTCACCAGAATGAAAAGAAAGATTTTAGTTTGGGAAAATTCGCCTTGGGAGGGTAGATGAAAGAAGAATGACAGATGGGGGTCACTGACCCAGCATCTCAGCTGGAGATGGTCTTTGGGTTAGCTTTGGTGGGGATGCCTTGAGACCACTGGGGACAGCCCTTATCAATACATTTTCACTGAAGCCATTTTGCCTCAGTGAGTTATCCAGTGGCCAGAGCTGAAGTCACAAGGGAAGCAGGGTGTGCGTGTGTGTGTGTGTGTGTGTATGCACGTGTATGTGTGGTGTGGCGTCATTTCATGCCAGAAGTTTAAAAATTTCTACTGAGAATATAAATAGAAAGAATAACCATTCCAGCATGTATATTGACCTTTTACTTGAAAGTGTTTTTCCATAATGGAAGTTTCTATGGCCATTCACCCAAAATGGACCTGATAACTGATAATATAAATAAAAAACAGGCCCGGCGCAATGGCGCACTCCTGTAATCCCCACACTTTGGGAGGCCAAGGTGAGTGGATCCCTTGAGGTCAGGAGTTCGTGACCAGCCTGACAAACATGGCAAAACCCCATCTCTACTAAAAATACAAAAATTAGCCGAGCGTGGTGGTGGGTACCTGTAATCCCAACTACTCGGGAGGCTGAGGCAGGAGAATCACTTGAACCCGGGAGGCGGAGGTTGCAGTGAGCCAAGATCGTGCCATTGCACTCCAGCCTGGGTGACAAGAGCAAGACACTGTCTTAAAAAAAAAAAAAAGTGTGTGTGTATATATATATTTATATATCTTACATATATATATACATGGAACTTTTTTTTTTTTTTTTTTTTTTGAGATGGAGTCTTGCTCTGTCACCCAGGCTGGAGTGCAGTGGCCGGATCTCAGCTCACTGCAAGCTCCGCCTCCCGGGTTTACGCCATTCTCCTGCCTCAGCCTCCCCAGTAGCTGGGACTACAGGCGCCCGCCACCTCGCCCGGCTAGGTTTTTTTGTATTTTTTAGTAGAGACGGGGTTTCACCGTGTTAGCCGGGATGGTCTCTCGATCTCCTGACCTCGTGATCCGCCCGTCTCGGCCTTCCAAAGTGCTGGGATTACAGGCTTGAGCCACCGCGCCCGGCCGGAACTTTTTTTTAAATATCTCTGCTAGATACATCTGAAACCTCTCTTTTAGATAAAAATGGTGATGAAAGAAGGAGAAAGAATGATTTGATTAGGTTAATAGAAAACCACTCCTAAAATGAATATCAGTGTTTTATAGAAATAAGAAATCTATGCCTGGACGGGCGCGGTGGCTCACGCCTGTAATCCCAGCACTTTGGGAGGCCGAGGCGGGCAGATCACGAGGTCAGGATATCGAGACCATCCTGGCTAACACAGAGAAACCCCATCTCTACTAAAAAATACAGAAAATTAGCCGGGTGTGGGTGGCGGGTGCCTGTACTCGGGAGGCTGAGGCAGGAGAATGGTGTGAACCCGGGAGGCGGAGCTTGCAGTGAGCAGAGATCCGGCCACTGCACTCCAGCCTGGGTGACAGAGCAATACTCCGTGTCAAAAAAAAAAAATTAAAAATAAAAATAGATTCAGCTATAGTCCTTTTGAAAAGAAAAAACATACCACAAAAACATCTTCTTTAGGGTTACTCCGTTTGAACTCTTGAATATAATAGAGCTGGCTGTTAATACCTAAAAGCAGCACAAAATGAAATGTAAAATTAGTGACTCCAGGCCGGGTGCAATGGTTCACGCCTCTAATCCCAGCACTTTGGGAGGCCAAAGCAGGCGGATCACCTGAGGTTGGGAGTTCAAGACCACCCTGACCAACATGGAGAAACCCCGTCTCTACTAAAAATACATGGTGGTGGGCACCTGTAATCCCAGCTACTCGGGAGGCTGAGGCAGGAGAATCACTTGAACCCAGGAGGTGGAGGTTGCTGTGAGCCGAGATTGCACCATAGCACTATAGCCTGGGCAACAAGAGTGAGACTCTGTCTCCAAAAAAAAAAAAAAAAAAAGTGACTCCAATTTTGGTGACATTGGATTAAGATAAAATGTTTAGGAATAAGTTTAATAAAGGATGTTCGAAACCAACAAGTAGAAAACTGTAAAGCACCACTGAAACCAGAAATAGACTTCAATAAATAGAAAGGCATCCTCTTTTCTTGGTGAGAACATCTCAATATAATAAAGATGTCAATCTCACCTTATAGTTTACAAAATTTTGCAATCTCATTAAAAATTCTCACCGGGCGCAGTGGCTCACGCCTGTAATCCCAGCACTTTGGGAGGCCGAGTCGGATGGATCACCTGAGATCGGGAGTTCAAGACCAACCTGACCCACATGGAGAAACCCCATCTCTACTAAAAATACAAAATTAGCCTGGCGTGGTGGCACATGCCTGTAATCCCAGCTACTCGGGAGGCTGAGGCAGAAGAATCGCTTGAACCTGGGAGGCGGAGGTTGCGGTGAGCCGAGATCACGCCATTGCACTCCAGCCTGGGCAACAAGAGCGAAACTCCGTCTAAAAAAAAAAAAAAAAAAAAAAAAAATTTTAATGAGTTTTTTCATTGACATGGACTGTAAGTTAATGCTAAAATCCACATGGAAAATTAAAGAATTCCAACAAAATTGCTGCACAGGAAGTGCTTTAGAGGGACTAGCCCTTCCAGATTTGAAAACTTTACAAAGCCTGTATAATTTAAGCAACATCATAGCACTGGCACATGAATAGGTCAAAGTAACAAGAGCAGAATGCATTAAAAAATGCCTATCGAAAGGTGGAATATCACATGACTGTGGCAAATACTCTTTTAATAAATGGGACGTTGACTAGCCATTTGGAAAATAATAAAATTCCATTCCTCCCGTCATACACGAGAATTTATAATGGGTCAGAGATTTTAATGTGAAAAAAATATTTTTTTTTTCACATTGCCAGAAGAAACATGGATACTAGAAACATGCTATAAGAAAACATGGATGAAATAATCTTTAACCTGGTATATGGCGAGGCTTTCTAATTCTAAATCCAGAGCCAATAAAGGATTAATAAATAATGTCTACAAATACCAAATAGCATTTGCATGGACAAAGTGTACCATAACATCAAAAGACAAATGACTACAAAAAATCCTTATCAACATGTAAATCACCATACTTCACCGATAAAGGGTTAATCCTGAGGCCGGACGCGGTGGCTCACACCTGTAATCCCAGCACTTTGGGAGGCTGAGGAGGGCGGACCACCTGAGGTCAAGAGTTCGAGACTTGCCTGACAAACATGGTGAAACCCTGTCTCTACTAAAAATACAAAAATTAGCCAGGCGTGATTGTCCCCGTCTATAATCCCAGCTACTTGGGAGTCTGAGACAGGAGAATTGCTTGAACCGGGGAGGCAGAGGTTGCAGTGAGCTCAGGTCGCGCCATTGCACTCCAGCCTGGGCAACAAGAGTGAAACTCCGTCTCCAAAAGAAAAAGAAAAAAAAAAGGAGGGGTTAATCCTTACTTTGTAGATGTTTTAAAAATTGAGGGGGAAAAGATTAGAAATCCTATAGAAAACTGGGCAAAAGACATGCACAGACTCTTTACCAAAAGACGTATAAATATATGAAAAGACATTGAACTTCACTCATGGTAAGAGAAACGTAAATTACAACTACACTGAGATACCATTTCTCACCCATCAGATTGTCAAAAATTTAAAAACTTAACAGTACTCTCTATGGCTGAGACTGGAGAAACAGGCATTTTCATACATTGTTGGTGGGAATGCAAAATGTTTTAAGTTCTATAGACTTAAATTTGGCAGTATTTAATTATATATACACATACCTGTTGACACAGCAAGCAAGTGCACTTCTAAGAATTTATCCCTTGAGAGTCACCCAGGCTGCATGTGGTGGCCCACGTCTGTAATCCTAGCACTTTGGCAGGCCTGGATGGGCAGTTTGCCTGAGCTCAGGAGTTCGAGACCAGCCTGGGCAACATAGTGAAACCCTGTCTCTACTAAAATACAAAAAATCAGCCAGATGTGGTGGTGGTCGCCTGTAATCCCAGCTACTCAAGAGGCTGAGGCACGAGAATTGCTTGAACCTGGGAGGCGGAGGTTGCAGTGAGCTGAGATCATGCCACTGCATTACAGCCTGGACAACAAAGGGAAATTCTGTCTCAAAAGAAAAAAAAAAGAGTCCAGGCGTGGTGGCTCACGCCTGTAATCCCAACACGTTGGGAGGCCAAGGTGAGGTCGGCAGTTCGAGACCAGCCTGACCAATATGGAGAAACCCCATCCCTACTAAAAATACAAAATTAATCAGGCATGGTGTCACATACCTGTAATCCCAGCTACTAAGGATGCTGAGGTCCTGAACCTAGGAGGCGGAGGTTGTGGTGAGCCAAGATCACACCATTGCACTCCAGCCTGGGCAACAAGAGCGAAACTCCATCTCAAGAAGGAAAAAAAAGTCACCTTCAGTGATATG